AAAAGTCAACATAATGATTGATTGTTTTATTAATATTATTTATAAGTATCCATGGAAGATGTGTTGGATTAAAATCCACAAGCTATATATTTTAAGAAGTTGAAAACAAATGTGTGTAGGGGCTTACAGTGGGATGAGGCAGGCTAAGAATGAGGCTAGACCCCCCTCCCTCCCTCCTAAGACTTAGCTGCTTAGGCAACTAGGTCTAGACAGAAGGAGTTTTTTCTTTTTAATTTTGTATCATTCAATATAGATATTAGCTCCTTTCCACCCAACATTTTACAATATAAAAGATAATTACTGTAATATACAGTTGTAGTTTTGTATAATGTAGTGGTGGGTACGGAGTCAATTTAGAAATTCGTTTTTTTGTGTAAATTTGTACTCATATGCCTACCTTAGTAACAGTATAATAAAGTCCATCGAGCTCACTAAGTTGTGGCTCCACAAATTTGACGGGGAAGGGGGAGGTGACATATCCAGCAGCTGGTCCGAACCAAATTGCCAACAAATTGGGCATCGGTCAGTGTCCTGGATTTGAAGTCCAATTATGTACAGTGCATACCATTACTTTAGCTACAATCATTACCATTTTTTCAATCTATAATTGTTTGTACACAGTATTTTTAACTAATTGAAATAAATTAAAGTAATTACTGGAAGCAGAGCTGGAAAAAAAAATGTTTGTGCCTCTAATCATGAAATTATCTTTAATATAAGATGCCTCTAGCCCAATATGTTAACTATATAGTTCAAGAAAAAAAAAATGCTTTAAAAAATGCCTCCGGGAAAACGTGTAATGACTCAGACAGACGGTTGCATACGTTACCCAAAAACATGTATAACATTATTATTCTCCGCTATGCATTTGTTGTGCATAGTAGTTAGCTCTGTATAAACATGCATTAATTTTTCTAAACCAAGTTTACTATACCTTATAAGTGCATACTACTGAACATTTATTTATTCATAGTAACTAGGTAAATACATTCAAAACTAATTTATCTGCTAAATGCACACATTAAAGAAAGAATTGACAACATTGAAAAACAACAGTTGTACTATTTCCTCAGGGAACATTATTTAGGATGTTAAATTATTACATCATTCAATAAGACACATTTTTTAATTGGTTCGCTGACGACTTGATAATTCAACCTTCTATAAAACAACATTTAACATGATCTCGTTCAATAACAAGAATGATATTTTCATAATTTTTATACCCGATTTATCCCAAATCAATTAATGGTAGAGTCCAAGTGGTTATAAAATTTATTATAATAAAGCAGTTTGATACTTGTTGTAATGTGTTTTTTAGCATGTTAGTAATTTAAAAAAAAATTATATTATTATTTTAAAAAAGTCATTTCAATACAAATATTAATTTAAGATACCATAAAACTGAATCTTTTATCTGTACGTCTTCTTTGTTTGTATTATACTTTATACCAAAAGTACTGATGCTGTGCATGGACAGAGCAGAAATGCCTAAAGGACTGGCATTAAGTGCGTTGCAAGTATATACTTAGGATGGGGCTACAAGTAGAATGTGACTGTGCAGCGGACAATGAAAAAACATTTTTCTCAATTGTCTCCCTCCTGGAGAAAGTACTGCAGACGCTACTACTAAAGAAATAAAATGAACAGCATGCGATTCGGACTGCTAACGACAAGGTTGAGAACTTAATCGGAACCAATACCGGCCACTCCCACTGATAAAATTCTGAATATTCATTCTTATAAGCCAGCCATCATCTCCAAGAGTTCAGTAGAGCCACAATAAGAAAACATAATCCGATTTGCATTACCAGGCACGATTACTATCGGGCAGCTAATTACAGTAAGTAAACGTGGTGTACTTTGGGGAACAGTCAGCAATTATACATTGAATACAACTGAATAGTTTTTCTAACTAGGCAATAGAGCGAGATGGCTTATGCCTGCACAGATACAGTACAAGTACTGTATAATGTGATAAACTGAAGTCTTATTACAATGTTTAGGCATGAAGATATTTTTTTTTTAGTCATGAGAAAAACTTAATTAGTAGGAATTTGTAAGATTTGCAGGTCATCTTAAACTTTGGAACTCACTACCATCATATGTTTGTTAAGGCCAACTCAGACCGCGTCGTACGACACAGCCGATAGTGATTCATTGTCGGGAACGGTCTTAAGCCACCATGAGAAATATTAAACATGTTTAATATTCTACGACGCGACGGTCCCCATAGCAAAACATCTCGTCTGTGCTTTACTCACAGTCAGGTAGAGAAGCAAATAATTTTATTGATGGAAATTGCGAGTATGTAAATTAAAAAGGTAAATAAGGAGCCCTCAGGCTCTCACTCGAGACTGTGTTGTCACAAAAACAATGTAGAGTACCTCTAAAAAAAAAACTGTTCCTTATATTAATAATATAATTATTATTAATAGTATAATTAATGACATATTTAGGGAAGAACAAGAAATAAAATAGATTTTATGAGTGATTAAATAAAATTTAATCTTTTTTATGCATTTTCAAGTGTGCTAAGAGGCCTAAAATACATTTTTTTTTAGTCATCATTACTAGCAGGTAGCAGGTTCCATATCAATGCAAGAAAATAGTCTTACATTTAGTATATCAACACATATTCATACACATGTACATTGACATAGGCAGTTGATATATCACTGTATCTGGCATACCCTACAGCATTACGAAAATCATCACCTCTTTTTCGTTAACTCTCATTATGATAATTATAATGAAGAAAATTATCGTTTAGGTTTTACATTTACCGTGCAACTCAGTTCAATGAGAAAGTTGAATCGTGTGAATATGGTCAGGGACCAATGGAAATATATCCCAAGTGATTTGTAAACGATCTTGAACATTCAAGGAGCTCGTGGAAATCTTTGTCAGGAAGAACACTGGTTTTGTATGTTAAGCTACAGCTCATTAATGAATGCATTTATGCTTGAAATTTATGTTTAAGTTGGTGAAGAATGTAACAAACTATTAATGAAGGCCACAGCAAGTTAAATCAAATGTAATATAAATCATCCATCATAATTAACACCATTTTAACTGTAATATTTATTTATATCATTAATTTTATTATCCATTATTATCAGTATATTCAAAAAATCTTATATAAATACAGTAGAACACCTATTAGGTAGACTTTTTCAGAACCAAAAAGGGATCCACTTGCATATCCCCCAAAATAGGGGATGACTATATTGTAAATAGATATATTTTCTCATTAAGTCAAAAAAGTGACCCCGTTAATAAGGGTGTTCTAACTAATTTGTTCTACTGTACTCTCTTTCTTCTATGAAAATAAGACTAAAGCAAATTAGTTTTGCTTTTGGTTGAGGAAAAAATGTGTATTATTTTTATAGCACTGAAATATTAATTGATGAGGTACTGACTTTCCAAACCCAATGTCATGTTATTTATTGTAATTGTACAACAAAATGAATACAGTGAAATTGAGTTGGCTCATGCAAAGCAAGTGAGAAAAGTGAGATAGAAAAAGCATGACCTAAAACAAACCTACAAACTATCACTGAGTGCCCTAACGGCAGAAGGATAAAAAGAAGATCTGGATCTTGTGGTTGTTGTAGGGAAGGCTCTATTATTATTATTATTATTATTTAGTGGTTGTTGTAGGGCTTTATTTTTCATTACATCTATAAAATATTTATAAAACAATTTCCCTTTTGAAACCTCATAATGTGAACAAGTTACAGTACTATAATAGCATGCTCTATAAATAGATCATTTCCAATCTGTAATTGGCAAGTCTATTCAATGTGAATGGAATCGGAATTATCTTTTGATTGAGCTGGAATGCATACAGATTTAGAAGGATAACGAAGACTTACGATTCTAGGTTTTCCTATGAGAGGGGAAACCATGTTTATGCAGGTTTTCAAAAATATGCTAAGAAAAACAGTGGTACTTGAAAGTGTAGCTTAACAACAGAACTTGGAGAGAATTTACTTTAGTGTCAGGTTTTATTTTTTCTAGACACATCGCTAACCTGTCTTTTTGTACTTCATTGTTTTGTAATTTAAATTTTTTATTTTACTGTTACGTGTCCAATTTATTAATATTATAAAATATTAATAAACTGTTACGTGTCCAATTTATTAATATTATAAAATATTAATAATATATATATTATAAAAATAAATTCGTATTCTGATAACGATGTTCAAAATGACATTTTACAATATATCTGATGAGAAATTTAAACAATGGAAAAAGGGAATGGAAAATGTACTTTTATTCATCCATCCTGTATATAATTAATAATTAAGATTACTAATTAGTTAACACAAGAATAAGAAATACAGTAATTGAAGTATATATTGAGCTGTAATGGATATATTTAAAACCTGCTCCAATAATTTGTTAATGTAAAATTGATCATTATCCAAAAATATTACCTGTCTTTAAGAATAAGGAGAATAAGTTAAAATTGATTTTATTATACATATGGAAATTATGATCTGCTTTCCTGATGATCACAAAGTGCATAAATCAGAATTTACATATCATTAAAAACAATTATTATTTTGTTTAATTCTTGCTACTGTATTAAAAGACAAACATTTGCTTATGACAGGACCATTTTATTTTGCACTTGTCTAGTATTCTATTTCTGGTTAAAGAAGGCTCTCTGGCTGATTATTCATACACAAAAAATTGATTTTAATTCTATAAGGTCATAATGTCAGATGCTGATGAATGTAAAACTATTGAAATCAAAAAATGTTAGAGGAAATAATGATTTATTACTAAATGTTTCTTTTTTTCAATAACAATGCAGGATCAATATGGCTTGTTCTGTGAGTTTTTTTTTTTAATGACTTGCTTTTCTACTGCATTCATAGATTTAAATGTCAAGTGTACTGTCCATCAAAATGAAGTTGGGAATGACATAACCAATCAATCTTAAGAATTCACTGAATGATACTAAGTAGAGCATACTTAAGACCTACCTTCTGTGCTCAATCCAGGACTGGCAGTGAATTTAGCAACATCCACAATTTTGACAGCAAACTGCTGGCTAGTCTCACGGTGGATACATCGCCTCACCTCGCTGAAAGGACCTCTGCAAAATAGTAATTAAAAAAAAAAACGATACGGTCAGATTTAACCTATTAATACTTATTTATCGTAGAGTAAAGAGAAAGAATCGTCTGCAAAAGCAGTATGAAAAATGATGTCAAATATTTTCATCCTTTGTCCTTAATTTCAACCCACTGCAGAGTGGTGCCTTTCCAATATAGTAATTACATTTTTTTGTGTGGTCATTATTTTCGTTCTTATCCTTTTTGTATGACATATACTTACCTGTGCTCTTTTATATATATATATTTCATGTTCAATAGTTTTCATTCTTGAATTGTCAATGTTTTTATTCATGTGCTCATACTTATTTAATTCTTTTTCTTATACTTTTTCTCAACTGTGTCTATATATTTCCATATTTTTAATAATTACTAGACATACTATATTTTATTCAATAAAATTTGTATTAATATTCTGATTCTTGATTTTTTTTAAAACTATTTTAATGTAATTTTAATATTTTGATTTAAATATTCTATAATGCAGCCTTAGGAAGGCTGCAAATAAGATATCAATAAAAGTAACTTGAAAATCATAAATTATCCATCATCATTTATTGTACTTTATACAGATCTTTGACTACCGTTATAACTTGTTATTGGTAGGTTTGTGTACCTCAGGATGGAAGAGCCTACCGTAGACTAGCAACACAGCTGTCCAAAGTCTCCCAAAGGTTGGACAAGCTTGTGGGAAGGTTCCACACAAAATTATAACAGGGGGTTGGAATACAAACTCTTTAATCACCTGTAAAAAAAATTGTAAGAATTCAAATTGCCATTACAGTAAAAGAATTTTATCTGTCAGATATTTTACCTGTTGTATGATGATAAAGTACTTGTTTTCCCTCATCTTGAGGATAATTGAGATAGTGGTAATACATTACCTCATCAATATGCAAAGCATATCCACGAGATATCCTAAAGGACAACTTCAGTAAATGAGAAATGCCAGCGAGGAATTCTAATCTTAATAGCATTCGCTGAAATTACGATTACGTCGGTTCATTTGGTGAAGGATTTACAAATCTGTCAGTGCAAAGTCTCCGGTTACAATTTGTGTAAGAAAACCGTAATTGTTCACTGCCAGGCATTGTTACGATGCGATCACTTTGGTTTTTTTTCTAAATACATGGTGTTTGTGGATGTATTATTTTATAGCGAATGCAACGCTTTTGTGCACCACTAATGGAAAACTGTAGTTTCATAAAGACTTTTCCTTCCTTTTTCCTTGACTTATTAAAATCCTTGAGAAAAAATTATTTGAGTATTTTAAAGATGTATTGTCCAATTAAAACATAAACATAGTAAATCTACAATGTACTTGATTTATTTGAGGACTATGGAACATCGCTACAAGATCAACACTGACATGACGTACAGTAACTATGGTGGTATTTTGCAACTGGGTTTTTCTTATGTCAATTACTATTATTTCCTCGGTTAAGATTAGCATTTTTTTTTAGTGAAGCTGAACACACAAAATACTAAAAATTTATCTATATATTGTAGAAGTAGTTTGGGCGCAGAGGGAATGGTTTGGCTTCCCAACCTCAAGGTAGGGGTTTCAATCCCTCACTGTACATTTCGATTAAGTGTACTTGAGAAAGGTACTTATCAACATTGCTTCTCTCCACTCAGGAGTATAAGGGGGTACCTGAGGAGGTATAAGAGGTACCTGAGGAGGTATGAGTGCATAGGCTTAGCCAGCGAGCCGTTCGGCCATCTTTTGGACGGCCTACAATTATTTATGATGGCCACTTTTACCGTGACGGCTTGGATGGCTTGGCCTAATCAGTTCGGCCTAGCCTAATTGGGCCTAGTCTACCTTTAGCAAATTCTTTATATTCTTCAAATCTATCGAATGTTACATTAAACTAAAGCTAAATCATATTTAAGTTTGATAAAAACAACATTAATTGATTGAATGTACATTGTTTTTGTACCAATACTCGGTGGGGATTACCACGCCCACTGGCTTCCATTTTGGACAGCCTATTTGTTTTTCTGGCTAAACCCGTTTGAGTGCAAAAATGCGCTGATATATTACACGCAGCAAACTATGGAATTTCCCCCATAGGCATCGTTCCAATGACTGGGGTAATAATACAGAAAAGCACTCTGAGACTTAGTTGTATATAGCGCTATATAAAAACCTACATATTACAGTATTATAAAACACAGCCATTAGGTTAAAAAAAATTTGCATCACAATACATTAATCTGATTTCATTAAAAATATCACTGTTGTAGTCAAATAAAAAATCATATTTGGATCGAATGCTGTCTCTCCTAACAGCTTTCTGTGCATGGTATTGTTTATGTTTTATATTAAGCCTCACAGGATGAAAATGTTTCTAAAAAATAACCTTATACTTTAAATATTATTTCATCAAAATATCACTAGATATGTCAAAAACCTATCTTTTTCATATTTCTACATCATATTACGTCTGAAGATATTGTTAACTTTCAACAAATACTTTACAAAATTGCTCATATTACAAACACAGAACTTGCAATTTTACGAATTTTCTGTCATATTAAGTAGTACAAAAATACAACTAAAAAATAATATTCATAGATCTAATATACCGTCTCATTATGATCATTGATGTTGCACTGTTAGAAAAATAAATAATAAAATAAACAATTATAATTAAACATGATCAATGGCCTGAGGATTCAAAGATGTGCTAAGTATGGATGATTCCATTAATATTCAGGGATGTTCCCTATCAGAAGGCATGTTGATATTGGTGAATTATTCACAAAATAGACTTGTTGCTTAATTTTTTGGAGCAAATTATTCTCCATCTAAATGAGTTTGCTGAAGATTTATTCTACAAAAGGGTCCATCCATTAAACAAAAGGGTTTATCCATTTTTCATCATTTCCAACACAGTATAAAATTTATTCTTTCGACTGTATGACATCCCCTCCCCATTCCCATCCCAAGCCTCAGAAGTGTACATAATAAAATTATTGTTACCCTCTTGGGATCACTGTTGATTGACCCTTCCCCAACAGTATAATTTTGTAATCTGATGAATATGCCTGGGAAAAATGGATGATTCCTAACAGGAATGGATAATTATAATATTATTCTTCAAAGATGTTCAAAGGGAAAAAAACTGGCGTAAGTTGGATTATTCAGGCGAAACGAAATGGAGATTTCCTTCTTTCTGAATGCAAAAAGCAATGTGCATCTTCTTAAAGCAATCACCGACCGTAGCAAGTATTTAAAGATGTAGCGTAACATATTACGAACATTGATGCATAAGTCTCCATGGATGAAAATACATAGCGTTATCATAAAGGTGTTGACAGCGAAATATATAATGACTTTGTACTCAAATGTCACAGTTGAAATCAGGTTAATATTTTCGTATTTTTACTTTAAAAACTAAATTCATCCAAACAAGTAGAGTGCACAATTACGTAATGAAAACAAACATAGTGTCATTGTAACTGTATAACTACTACTATATAACTAAAACAAAACTATTGCACATTTTTAATATTGTATCTCGTCAAAGGTCGAGCACTATGGAAACAAATAACTTATGTTAGCACGCATTCTGCTGTAGGCGAAGATAGCGGGGTTAATGATGATCGTCTACAGTACCAATTTTCATTATATATCTTTTGTTTTAGTTTGCATTTTAATTTTCATTTGTACCTGTATTTTTATTTTAATTGTTTAATCTGGTTTGCTTATTTTAACTGTAGAACTGTTTTATCGATAATAAACCAAGCACAATGAATGTTATCAACTAGTCTGACGAAGTCATGTTGATAACAATGACAAAAGCTTGCAGTAAGTTTACATGCATTGTGCTAAGTGGTTTATTATCGATAAAACAGTTCTATTTTTATTGTTGTTGCTACATCATCCAATTTCTAATGTTTCTGACAACTAATAATAATTTTTAAAATAATAATAATAATAACAAATAATATCAATAATAAATAATAATAATAATAATAATAATCATAATAATAATAGCAATAATAATAATAATAAATATTTTTATCTGTATAGTACATTAATAAAACTAATTGTAATTTTAAGTAATACAAATTTTTTTTCAATTAAAAATACTGATAATTAAAGCCAACTTATAAAGTCACTGTTAATATAAAAATTTTTCTCATAGTACATCCAAGTGTATAAATAAATAAATAATAATAATAACAAATAATATCAATAATAAATAATAATAATAATAATAATCATAATAATAATAGCAATAATAATAATAATAAATATTTTTATCTGTATATTACATTAATAAAACTAATTGTAATTTTAAGTAATACAATTTTTTTTTTCAATTAAAAATACTGATAATTAAAGCCAACTTATAAATAAAGTCACTGTTAATATAAAAAATTTTTCTCATAGTACATCCAAGTGTATAAATAAATAAATAACAAATACTAGCACTTTATATAGAATAATAACTTGAAGCTTTGGGTTACTCAGTGACCTTTAAGTGAACTTTTTCAAGTGAGAAGCAAATGCAAAGACATTCATGCACAAGTGCACTGACCAATCACAGGATAGACAGTTATGACACTCTTGAGTTTTAAGAGTACATTTGTTTATATGAAGAAATCCTAAGGATTTTTACAGGATTTGAGTCCAGGATAACGGTATTAGAGACCAAGCACTTCATTCCAAGATTTATTATGGAGGGCTTTCGAGAGAAATTTTGGCACTGTTTATACATCTTAGTAATATTCAGTTTGCACTGTAACATCACAGTTCCTAGTGGCGATCCCTTCCGGAAATTCACATGGACTTGCGATTGCTCATTCGTTAGTCAAAAGGAACACTCAATATAAATGATCATAATCTACTGAAGAACATACTCAACATTAAAGCTTCAGTTAAGCCTACTGAATTGAACACGAGTAAACAAATGGCAAACAATTTCAACACTTTAAATCTCATCACTGTCAAATAACAAGAAGATAT